GTCGAGGCTGCGGTGGCCGGGAGCGGCCACTGCGCTCCAGTCTGGGTGACAGAGTGAGACTCCAACTCAAAAAAAAAAAAGAAGGGGACAGGTATTACAGGGAAAGGTGCACGCCTCAGAGACTGCAGGAAGAAAGAGCGAGGGTGTGGAACAGACAGAAGCAGGGTACCGGCTGAAACAGCTGGTGGGCTCAGGACGCCCATGACACCCCCAGGAAAGCAGAGCAGAGGAGAAGCGTCCTCCCGCAGTGGCCCCTGCCTGAGAGGTGCCAAACCACTGTGCGAGCCCACAGAGCCATTAAGGAAATGCGGACTCAAGAGACCCCTAGCTGGCAGGTCCCCACAGAACCCAGCAGAGGCCCACAGGGCCATGCAAAGCAGCACGGTCCACGCCAACTGCTTGCAGGCCCGGGGCTCCTCGCAGCCCTGCATGAGGGACAGCCTCACGGAGAGGCGCTCAGTTTAGCCCCAGTTTAGTAAATGGGTCAGGAGAGCCGACATGTGGATCCTGAGCTCAACTCTCTAGGAGGTGGGTCCTACCTGCAGCTCCTGACGGGCGCTGGGCCTGCCTAGTGTGGACGCTCACCCTGTGCACAGTGGGCTTTGCCAACACCACCTCTTTGGGGTTTTGCTTGAGGGTTTGGACCGAGCCTCCATGGACCCAACGACAGGGTCCTTGCAAAAGACAGGAAGGGGGAGACAGATGCTGGGAGGAAGCCATGTGAGGATGGGGGAGGGACAGGAGCAACATGGCCATGAGCCAGGGACACGGGAGCCCAAGGAGCTGGGCGAGGCAGGAAGGAGCCTTCCTGGAGCCTCTGGAGGGGGCACAGCCCCGAGACCCCTTAAATGGTGACTCCCTCCAGCATTGTGAGGAGACGCATTCCTGTGTTTTGAGCCCCAGTGCGTGTCCCATCACGGTGTCCCAAGGAGGCCACACACAGGCCCCCTCTACCCTGCAACTGCCCCCAATACCACATGCATGTGCACAGCCTCTGCCGCTCCACGTGGCATCGGGGCCTGGGCGTATAGCTGACGTGCGTGACACAGTATCTGTAGCTGACACTTGTGACACAAGCGTCTGGTGCCTAGCTGACATGCGTGACATGCTATCGGTAGCTCACACTTGTGACACAAGCGTCTGGTGCTTAGCTGACATGCATGACACAGGCACCTGCCACTTAGCTGACATGTATGATACGGGTGTCTGTAGCTAGCATGTGTGACATGGGTATCTGGTGCTTAGCTGAGACATGTGACACGGTGTCTGGCACTTAGCTGGCATGTGTGACACGGGCATCTGTAGCTGACATGTGTGACATGGACATCTGTAGCTGACACGTATGACATGGGCGCCTGGCACTTAGCTGACACATGTAACATGGGCATCTGGCACTTAGCTAACATGCATGACACGGATGTCTATAGCTGACACATGTGACATGGGCACCTGTAGCTGACATGTGTGACATGGGCGTTTGTAGCTGACACATGTGACACAGGTGTCGGTAGCTGACATGCGTGACATAGGCATCTGGCACTTAGCTGACACATGTGACATGGTGTCGGCCCTGTCGAGAGATTCACGCTCACCAGCATGTTTCCTACACCCCCTCTTTGAACAGGAGCCGAGCTGCATGAGGTCCCTTCCCAGGCAAAGCCCAGGGCTCCAGCGCCCCCTCCCCCACCCACAGGTCATGTTGGGAGCCTGGGCAGGGGCCTCCGAGGACCGCCCCCTTTCTCGCTCCTCCTTGTCCTCCGAAGGTTGGTATGGCGAGAGCCTCTGGGGGCCCCGGTGGCCAGTCCCCAGGGAGGAGCACCAGGAGCTGCCGCCACCGTGCAGAACCCCCAGCTCTCCCACCCGACAGCAGGAGCCGTGAGGACCCCTCTGAGTCCCTCACATGGGGACCCCTCTGGGACAGGGCCTGGTCAGGCCCTGGGGGACTCGCACCTCCCCTTGCGGCAGATCGCTTGCTGGACGTGTGATGCAGCCCCAGGGTGTGACCATCGCCTCCAAGCACCACGGCTTCTCCCAGCGTCCAGGGATCTACCCCACAAGTGAGCACCCCTGGGTCTTGTGAGGCCCCGGGTCACATGGCCCTGCACTCCTGCCAGCTTGCAGGGACCTGGCACTGCGGGTGTGAGGAGTGAGGACAGGTCCGTGCCCCTGGGGCCAGCATGAGCCCAGGTGGGTCCCCCCCTCCTAGGGGACCCCAGTCACCCCACATGCCCACTCACTGAGTGACCTCGGAGCTTCCTACCACCTCCCCTAGGTTTCTCACTAGAACGCAGGTCTTCCCTGTGTGAGAAGAAACGTGGGTTCTTTGATCTGGCAGTTTCCATTCAGGTGAGCCATTGCTTCAACTTGGGCCCAGTGGCTTGGTCCTGAAGGGGCTCAAAGCCACCTCCGGTCACTGGGCAGGACCTGAAAGGCCAATGTCCACATGGCTTCCCCACCCAGCCTTGTGTGCACACCTGGCCTGAGGACCCCACAGTGAACCTTGTGTTCTGTGCCTGCAGGACTCAGCAGGGACCCACACTCCTCTGGGAAGCAGGTAGGTGCAGATCCAGCCTTATGTACATGTCAGGGCATCTGAGTGGGTGTCCTATGGCACGTGGGGTGTCTGGGCCTCCCGGAGGCTCTGTGTTGAGCGGGTGTGGGGACACTGCAGCTCTCAGCTCAGCCCCTACAGGCTCTAGCAGACCTCCGCCCCCCGCCCAGGCCAGGGCACTTACCAGCCCGTGTTGAACTCCACATGGGCGTCGAAGAAGCCGACGACAGGGGCGGTGGCCGCCTTCCAGCCCTGCAGCCGCGCGCGGATCAGGCCCTCCCGCCGGCTGTTGCGGACGATCTTCACGAGGCCTGGGTACCGCTTGTGCACGTACTGGTCCAGGTTGAACTTGAGCTCCACTGGAGGGAGAGACAAGCCTCAGTGCCCATGCCAGGCCGGACCCGGGTTGACAAGCCCACCCGCCCTGCCCGGGTTGGCGTCTCATGAACATGTACTGAGGGCTTGTGGAGGCAGACGCCGTTCAAGGGGGCAGCCTGCAGAGAGGCAAGACCAGGTCCCGTGAAGCTGGTGTTCTAGCAGGGAGACCACGAATGAGGGAGCGAGACGGAAGACGCCTCCTGAAGACAGACAAGGCCTGGGTGGTCCCGTCTAAAAAGGAACAAAGTCCATGGACGGATGGTGTGTTAATGTAATGTGTGGTCCACCCACGAGTGGAGTCCAGTTCAGCCTACAGGAGGAGGTTCTGACACAGCTGCAGTGTGGGTGGACCCTGGGGTCACTGCTGAGCGGGAGGAGCCACAGACAAACCCGGTCGTCTCACTCACGTGAGGTCCCCAGAGTCAGCTCCAGAGACAGGGTGGAGCGCTGGGCTGGTGTGGGCTGGGAGAGCGTCTGACGGGGACGGTTTCCATGGGGGAGGATGGAATGCTCTGGCTGCACAACACAGTGGACGTGCTGAAGACTACTGAGTGTGCACCTACACACGGTCACATTGGTAAGTTCTTAAATGTATCCTTTACCACAATTTTTTTTTCTGAGTTGGAGTCTCACTCGGTCGCCCAGACTGGAGTGCAGTGGCCACTCCCGGCCACCGCAGACTCGGCCTGCTGGGCTCCGGCGATCCTTCCACCTCAGCCTTCCAAGTAGCTGGAACTACAGGCGTGCGCTACCATGCCTGGCTAGTTTTTTGATTTATTGTAGAGATGAGGTCTCGCCAAGTTGCCCAAGCGGGTCTCAAACCCGCGGGCTCAGGCAATCCACTCACCTCAGCCTCCCAAGGCGTGGGATTACAGGCTGAGCCACTGAGCCTGGCTTACCACAATTTTTTAATAAAAGAAACAAGGCTCTGGCTCAGCACACGTGGCTGAACCTCCAAGACCTCATGGGGAGGAAGAGGAGCCAGACGCGCAAGGCCACGTGCTGCGGCCCCACGTGGGAGGACCGTCCCGAACAGGCCAATTCAGGGCCAGACACAGCATGGAGGCTGGGGCTGGGCGGGGAGGGAGGGGCCTCTTGACGGGACATGGCCTCTTTTAGGGGATGAGACTGTCCTGGGAGTGAGGTGAGTGGACTCAATGCCACTGAACTGCTGCTTGAAGATGGTTGTTTGCGGCTGTGAGAATTTCAGCTCAATGGCGTGTGGTGGAAACATGACGGGAGTTTGCGTAGAAGCAGCAGGGTTCCTGGGGAGCTGCCGAGGGGTTCACATGGCCAAGCAGGACCAGATGGTCCTCCCAGGACACGGGGCACAGGGGTGGGCCACAGTCACCCAGTCCTCACTCCTGCACTGTGTCAGCAAAGCACTGTGTGCAGACTCCCGTGTAGATGGAGCTGTGGGCTGGGCCTCTGTCCTGGGCTGCAGGCCCACTGCGCGGCCTCCTGCCTTCCCGGGTGAGGAGGGGCAGCTGACCGTCACCCGTGGGTGTGTTGGCCAGCCCTGTGGCTCTGCCCCTGGGAAAGACAGGTGGTGAACAGACCAGAGCACAGCCGGCCCCTCGTTTGGGGCTGGGCCTTATGCTTGGAGGGTGTGAGCAGCCCTGTCCTCGGGGCACCCCAGGCAGCCCCTTGAGTGTCTGTCTGGAAAGAGGTGGAAGGCTCGACTGGCAGATGAGGGCGCTTCGTGCCTGGGGCCTTTCAGAGTGACTCCTATGGTGGCAGGAGAGCAATCCCAGTTCATCTCCCTCTGGCCCTGGGAGTGGGGCCTCATTTGGAAACAGGGTCTTTGTAGAGGCAAGTAGTTAAGGCTCTTGAGATAGTCCTGGGGTTCGGGCGGGCCCTAAATCCAGTGACAACTGGCCTCATGGGAAGAGAAGACAGACACACATGGACAAAGCCACGTGACAACGGAGGCAGACGGGGTGCTGTGGCCACAGGCCACGGACACCAGGCACTGCAGCCGCCAGCGGAGTCCGGGGAGCAGAACGGCTCCCCATGGGCTTCGGAGGGAACCCCATGGACCCTGCCCAAGACCCCCCAGCCTCCAGAACAGGAGAGCAGGCGTTGCCGTCGCTCTGGTCCCAGGTGTGGCCCTCTGTGGGGGTGCCCGGACACACCCCCAGCTGCCCCAGCAGGGCCCAGCCCCACGCACCGTTGTCACTGTTGTCGTCCACCAGGATGACCTCCTTGAGGAGCTGCGAGGGGGTGTGGTTGACCACGCTGTGCACGGAGCGCAGGATGACCGACAGCGCCTCGTTGACAAAGATGAAGACCACAGAAACCTGGGGCAGGTCACGGGCGTAGCTCATCTGCCGGCACCTGTGGACACGGTCAGGCAGGTCGGACAGGGCTGGGCCCAGAGCCACGTGCCCCAAGGAGGCCGGAGGGCAAGGCCTGGGTCCTGCGTCTGAGAACACACAGCAGTGTGCATGGAAATGGCCACGCTCAGAGGGGAGCAGTGTGGCCTCAGGAGCTTCAGAAGCTGTGGCTTCCAGGCCCTGAGCTCAAGCCCGCCACGTCCACACTGGAGGGTGCAGTCCCCACACAGACCACACACCACACACACATATGCCACACACACACGCCACACACCACAAACACAACACGACATACATATACACCATACCCCCCCACACAAACACTACACACCACACACCACACACACATCCCACGCACACAGACACCACACGCACACACATGCATACCACATACCACACACCACACAAACCACAAACACACACACCACACACAGACATACACATCACATATCACACACCACACATAAACACCACACACCATAAACACACACATAGACACCAGACACCACACACATACATACAAACATACACACACAGACCCCACACACCACAAATACACACGCCACACAAAACACCACACACATATACACCACACATGTACACACCACCACACACGTAAACACACACACACAAATACCACATATTACACACACTCCACATATACACACATACCACACCCCTCCCTGCATTTGTTGTTTATAAGCATAGTTACAACAAAGTGACTAGAAAATTTGAAAATAGAATGAAATGAGGAAGATACCAGGCAAGCACCCTACCACCCAGCACAGGAGTGCAGCCTGGCGTCAGGTGAGGTGCAACCGGGTCCCGCTGGGTGGTTAAAGCACTCCTGAGCTGTTTGTAATTACTCTGTCACTGGTCCCTGGCCTCTAGTCAGACAGCCAAGAGAAAGGCAGCAGCGGCTGGGGTGAGCATTTCTGACTCCCACTTCTTTACCAGCTAATCCCAGCCCCACAAAAAAGGCAAAGGAGCTGGAGACAAAGACTCCAACCTGCCCCAGACCCCCTTACCCCGGAACTTCCCCTTCAGTGAGTAAGCTCAGGGGCTCCCTGAGCTGTCCTGGGCTTCCGGTGGGAGTGAGGGGTTGGCGTCCGGCAGGGTGTCCACTCTGCTGTGTGTCCGTGTAGAGAGTTTTTTCTTCCAGGATGGGTTGGATGGTGGCCACCAGCCCACCTGAGAACCTGGGCTGGGACTTCACTTACAGGCAATGGAGTCTTTGCAGACGTTATTAAGGATCTCAAGATGATGCCATCCTGGATTTCAGGTGGGTCCTAAATCCAGTAGCAGAGGGAGATTTGAGACATAGAGGAGACAGCCATGTGGAGACACAGTCTAGAGTGACGCGGCCAGGAGCTGAGGCCGCCTGGAGCCCCCAGGAGCTGGAAGTGGCAGGAGGGACACCCCCTAGGCTTCGGGAGGGGCACAGGCCTGCCCCTCTGGCTGAGGGAAACCCAGCCCCAGAACTGGGAGAGAACGCATTCCTGCGGCTGCATGCCAACCTGCTGCGCACCTTTGTGACAGTGGCCACCGGATGTGAGTCACCTTCGGTTCGCTGGCCTGTGACCCAGGCCTCAACTTCTCCAAGAGCACAGTGGTGGCTGTTCCTAAGGTCTGACATGAGAAGAGTCGCCCGGAGCCCTCTGGATTCCTTCCTGCTGTCGCTCACCTGCTCAGGGCCTCCCTCGGCTTTGGTGGAGTGGGAAGAGCGGCATGGTGTGTCTGGTCCGTCCCGAAGACTAGACAGTCACATTGTCACAGCTCAGCTCCAGGAGTGAGACGGCCAGTCCTGAGGCGTGGTCTCATCTGAGCATGGCCTGTCGCCGAGCTCTCCCAGGAGCTGCCAGGCAGAGGGTGAGCACAGAGGGGGAGGGCAGGCCCCGGCCCAGGGAACAGAATGGGAAGGCCATCCTGTCGCAGGAGAGGAGTCATGGGAGCTGGGGCTTGACAGGCTGCAGAGTCCAGGCCAGGGTGCTGGAGCTGGCCCGGAAGTGGGGCGGGGGCCTGGGAGGCCCAGGCCTGAAGGCTGGGACAGTGTCAAGCTCCCGGTCACCCATTTCTGACACCAGCCGTGCTGGCCCATGGTGTGCCAGTTTACAGCAAGGACAGTGGGCTGGCCCTGTCTTTTCCAGAGCTGCAGGCATGCCAGGTGTGAAATGAGGTCTCCATAGTACTCTCCAGGTTCAAGCTCAGCTCTCCACACCAAGGCAGGGGTTCTGCGTGCTCCCATCAATACCCCGGCTGGGTCTGCTGCAGAACGAACAGGCTGATTCTGGAGTTCACATGGAGATGCGAGAACCAAGTGACTTGAGAAGGACAGCCAGGGTGCTCATACCACCCACGGCTGGGGAGACTTAGAACTATAGCAGTCAGGGTGGTGTGGTGGTATGATGCCAGCCACATGGACACAGGTGAACAGCGGTGGACACAGCAACATGGCCAGGAGAAGACGGCCCTTCAATAAATGGCACCAGAACAACACACACACACGTGCACACACATACATCCACATGTGTGTGGCCAGGCACATGCACACATGTGCACCTTGGCAGATAACAAACACTTTTCACTCTGGGCAGTGAATTTTATCCACATCTTCCGCCCTGTGCTAAAATGAACTCAACATGAACCACAGACCTAAAACCGTTAGACTCCTAAAAGGAATCCCTGTGACCTTGGCTGAGGCAAAGATCTCTAAGCTATGACAACAAAAGTGTGACCCAAAGAAGAAAAATGGATAAAGTGGACTTTATCAAGGGTAGAAGACAGCATAAAGTAAATGGAAAGATGCTACAGCAGATGGGAGAAAATATTTTCACAGCACAAAACTCATAAAGGACTTATATTCAGAAATAAGACAGAGCCCTCAAAGCCCAACAGAGAGAAAACAAAAACCAATTAAAAATTCAGAAAAGATGAGAACAGACACTTCTCCCAAGAAGACACACAGTCCACCGAGCCTGTGGACACACATGTGGTGCCAGGCAGCTGAGGTCAGGGAGATGCCCCCAGTGGGCAGGGGGAGGGGCCGGGGCCGGTCTCCGGGAACAGCCTGGCAGCTTCTCTAAAAGCAAAGCAAGGAGCCGGGCTCGGTGGCTCAGCCTGTAATCCCGCGCTTTGGGAGGCCGAGGTGAGTGAATTGCCTGAGCCCGTGGCTTCGAGATCCACCTGGGCAACTTGGCAAGACCTCTTCTCTACAGTAAATCAAAAAAATTAGCCGGGCGCGCCATAGTTCCAGCTACTTGGAAGGCTGAGGCAGAAGGATCGTGGGAGCCCAGCAGGTCAAGGCTGTGGTGGCCGGGAGCGGCCACTGCACTCCAGTCTGGGCGATAGAGTGAGACTCCAAATCAAAAAAAAAAAAAAAAAGCAAAGCAAGGGGCTACTTGAGCAGGGCTCGGGCAGGCTGAGGACTGTCCTCCCTGTTAGTGGGTGTTTCAAGACATGGGATAAGGAGGGTGTAGACGGCGAAAAGAGGTCCAGCACCAAGCCCCAGGCACCAGCCCTGAGCTCTGCACAGGTCAAAGGGCTCTGATGTGGGGCCAGGAGGACGAGGCGTGAGCCCTGCACAGCTGGAAGCAGCTCCGGGAGCAGGTGTGACTCCAGACCCTGCCGGTGCCTGGGAAGAGCTGGTGGGGCATTGTTCCCTGCTGTGAGTGGGGACCCTGACAAGTGTGATTTCAGGAAGGTAAGGGAAGCCCGTGACTTTGAAAGTTTCCACCATGGAACCAGGGAAGGGCAGGACGTCCCGGACATCCCCAAGGTGAGGGGTGTCATGTCCTCTCTGTTCCCAGTGAGAGGAGCCGTGCCGAAGGAGCATGAACTGGAGGCAGCGGGGGTGGGGAGAGGGGTGTCCAGGAGGAGGATTCAGAGCCCAGCTGGGTGGCCTTTGCCCAGAGCAGGGACAAGCAGGAAGGGGGAATGGGGGACCGACGTGGTTTCTGCTCAAATCCCAGAAGTAACCAAGAAGACTGCATGGCCTCGGTTCCATGGATTTGGGGGCAGAACTGTCCACCTCGAGCCCCAAGGCAGGAGCCACAAAAGGACACCGCATTACACACCCCTGCATGGGAGCACAGCTGGGCCCAGGAGCTGGGTGGGGCCCGGGACGGTCCTGCTGGGCTCTGGCTCTGATCCTCGTCGCCCGGGTTTCTGACACACACATCGGCTGGTGCCCCCCATGCAGCCCTGATGGGCTGGGGTGTAGTCCCTGGAGTCAGTTCATTACCTGAGTTCAGGTTCCAGCTGTTGCATGAGCTCAGTTCTGAGAGCCCAGGTGACCTCTCACGGTGTCCCTCAATTGTGCTGTCCATCACACTGTCCCGCTTAGGGCCCAGGACGGAAGAAGTTCCTCCAGCAAGAACAGTCCTGGTAGGGACCAGCACATCGAGGACGCAGGGCTGGGCGGACACTTACGTAAAGTAGCCAGAGAAGGGGGCGGGAGTTGGGCATGGGGTGGGTGCAGCCCTTGGGGGATGCATTGGGCACCGTACTCGGGATAGGGTGGGCATATTCTCGAAACGTGCTTGGGGAAAACCCTCTAGAGAAGCATTTCCTGTGATGTTTGGAAGCCACTTCTTCGAGCAAAGCTGCTGGGGAGGTTTGTGCAGCCCCGAGGACTCCAGCTTGGGAGAGGCTGCTTGTGGTTGCTTCGACTGTTGTAAAGTTTGTTAAGTGTTTCTGCACCTGACTCTCTTCCTGCTGTTGTGGATATGCTATGTTTCAAGGATACTGACACACGGCAGCAAAATCAAATGAAGCAGGAGCCCACATGTGTTCAGGTGTTTCTGGCATGTCTGTGGGGCTTGAGGAAACCTGCACGCAAGGACTTGGCCACGCAGTGTTTTCCTGTCTCTCGTGGACATTTGCGTTCCGGTGCCTGGTGTGCGGACTTGGCTCCTCTGCCTGGTCACTCCAAGCACAGGGTCCACTCCCAAGCCCAGACGGCAGCTCCGGGCCCAGCCAACAGTAGACAGAGGGATGAGATGG